GACACGATAACAAGAGACAAACAATCCCTTGTTTTCTAAGACAATCCAATTCTAGCTTTGGACTTGTGATATTTATCTTTAACCCCCCCCCATTTCTGTAAAACCTGTTGAATCTCCGTCTCTAGACGTTCTTCCTCTCTAGACGTTCTTCCTCTCTAGATGTTCTTCCTCCCTAGACGTTCTTCCTCTCTAGACGTTCTTCCTCTCTAGATGTTCTTCCTCTCTAGACGTTCTTCCTCTCTAGACGTTCTTCCTCTCTAGACGTTCTTCCTCTCTAGACGTTCTTCCTCTCTAGATGTTCTTCCTCCTAGACGTTCTTCCTCTCTAGACGTTCTTCCTCTCTAGATGTTCTTCCTCCCTAGACGTTCTTCCTCTCTAGACGTTCTTCCTCTCTAGACGTTCTTCCTCTCTAGACGTTCTTCCTCTCTAGACGTTCTTCCTCTCTAGACGTTCTTCCTCTCTAGATGTTCTTCCTCTCTAGATGTTCTTCCTCTCTAGACGTTCTTCCTCTCTAGACGTTCTTCCTCTCTAGACGTTCTTCCTCTGGTTACTCCGGTCCATTTAAATAGGATAATACTTTATTGATCCCCAGAGGGGAAATATCTTTTTGTATCCACATTGTCACAGTAAAAAGCATTAATATTTTTGTTTGCTTGTATCTGTTGTCTCTTTTGAGGCCTGCAGTCCCAAACAGCTGATCGGTGGAGGAAGTTGATGTGGTGCGCAGAAGTAGCGCTAAAACAAAGTGGCTTTATGACGGAAGAGTTAAACCGCCAGACTGTTCTCTATATAGGTTTTACTTGCCTTGACATCGTTTTTTTTGGTTTGTCAATTACGTGGTACATAATGGCAGCGACGAATAGCATGGTTTCCATGACAACACTCCGACCGGTTTCTCAGTAAAGGACCTGAGCTGAACCGTGTTTCCTGTGGCTAATACGCTCGCTATTGACAACATTTTTGAAACTATTTTGCAGTGCAAGCCATGTATCCTTAAATTTCCATTGGTGATTGGCACAAGGATTTACCATTCGCTAATTAAGTTAGGGTAAGTATGCCTTACTTCTTACTGAGAAGTAAGGCATACTTCTCAGTTTGACCGGGCTCCAAGCTCTGTGTCCCGAGTCCCCACAAATATCTATAAAACACTAGTATGTCCCTGTTCAAATTTTATTAAAACGTTACGGCACTGTTAGTTTTCACACTGGACTCAGACCTGCCTCTCTCGGGTGAAAGTCCTGTGCTTGTTTTTATCTCAGTTCTCTACACATCATCTTTGGAAGTCAACATTAAAGTAAAAACTGGAACATTTTTCAGGGCTCCGCTTTGGTCTTTTTTCAAAAGTCATATCTTGATGCCCAATTGGCGGGACAAAAACATTCTCTAGGATATAAAAAGAGATAACTGGTTGCTTTCTGAAGTCAGGAAATATATTTTAGGATTGAGAGATGACGACTTCCTAACCTGAGAAGGAGGACACGAGAAGGGACAGAAAGCCAGGGATTGAGAGTCAGAAAGTGGTTGGCAGTGATCATGATTAAGATATGAAGCACTGAGACTGCCCTCACTGCAACACAGACTGGCTATGGCATTTTAATAAGGGCACAATGTGTGTGAGTGTGTGTGTGTGTGTGTGTGTGTGTGTGTGTGTGTGTGTGTGTGTGTGTGTGTGCTCATTCACATCTACAGAAGCACCATATGAAACAACACCATGTCTTTCATTAACCCACCCTACACTCACAATGTACATGTTGTCCTCTACTTTTGGTGGAATGTGTGATTTATGTCTGTACATTACCTCCTGTCCTTTCTACATGAGTAACCATATATACCACAGCCCAGTGTACATCTCATTCCCTTTCCTTCTGTTTTTGTACCGGTGTATGTTGTTGTACTGATCTGTTCTACAGTAGAGATATCTTTATTAAAGAGAACGGTTTTTGATTGGGAAGACTAACTTTCCAAATGAGGGGGAACATTACGGACCACAACTGTGTCCAACGAGGTGATGAGTGCATATTCACAGTTTGTGTAATCATCTGTACAAAGTGCGAGTTGTAAATTAGCAGAAATGTTTTTAGTTGCATGCAGCAAATCACAGAATCTTGTCAATAAAGTAGTTTTAGAAATCAGTGAAGTTCTTGCGGTTTACTTGTCTTGGTTTCCAACTCATGCGTGACGACGTATAATGAATGAAACAAACCGTGAGCGAACGTTATCTGGAAAACACTGAAGGGTCAGCCATGTTTGGCACCAGACACAAGATTAAAAACACCTGTGAAAGGGCCTGAAGGTTAGAAATTTCTATGGGGTGCTACGGATTGGACGAAACCACCAAAATGTCAAATTTCTCACCAGATCCGTGCATGACCATTTTGGGCATGTTGAAACCTCCAAAATGGCAACTCCAACCAAGAAAGAATAAAGAATAATGAAAATAATTCCTTGCATTCCAGTAGGGGCCCCATGGTTGGTGCTCGGGCACTAATTATTGGGCACTTGCTTACAAATACATCTTACCCTCCTGCAAATGTAAACTAGTCTGGAACCTCTAATTTTGTTTTCAGAAGGTGTTGGCAATGGTCGCAGGACCTCTGAATTCAACTAGATCGACCTACAGCAACAAAAAAAGCAACATAGAGCGTGATGTAGAAATAGGGCAGGGGGCTCTGTAGCTGCCAAATTCTGAATTCATTGATTAAAGTCTAGTTTAGTTTTTCAGGGACCATGTACAAAATATACAAGTTAATTAATGAGTGGAGATGCAGAGCACCAGATTTAGCTGATCAGCTAGCCTCCATCTGCAGTCCCTGGGCAGGTATACACACACGATAGAAATTACACAATTAATCCTTAAAAAACAGGATTAATCCAGATTACATCATAGCCACAGTCCAATATAATGCACAGATGTTTGGCATGAAATGATTTTAAAGCCAACATTTACCATTAATAAAGCAGATAATGTCGTGATTCAAAGTCATGTACGCCATCTTGGTTGTGTACAAACTGCTTTAAGGTGACTAAAGTTGATCCTTATTAGATCAACTGTTGTGATTGTCTGACCTTGAATTTCCTTTTGAAAATGTTGGAGAGAAATCTGCCTGAATGGGAGGAGCACCAGACGTATCTGCCGGAGCAAATAAAACATGAGCTCGCAAATCCGTCTGGATCTCAAGCTAGGACAGAAAACCATTAACCTATTTCAAATAGTGTTTTCTATAAACCTGACACTCTGATGGGTGGCAGATATTTTTGGTGTCCAGATTTTCAAAATCCTGTTCATTTTCTGCAGAAGCAATGTTGGGTGACAGGCAGGGAAAGAATTGCCAATGGATGCTAAACGGAAACCAGTCTTACCAGCCCATAAATACCAAGAGTTCCCATTAGTTCTGTTAGTAATTACATGGAAAATAGATGTCTGTCGGTCACACTATATAAATGTTATCCACCCCCATCTGCTAACTTGCAGTAGTGAATATGGGGGCTGGCAGGAGAAACTCCTGGTAGAGTTGGCGTAATAAATTTGGCTTTAGGGATTCAAACATGCAGCTCACCCTGAAAATTCTGAAAGTTTTCAGGAATTTGGGGAAGTGTGAAAACACCTCTTTAAACTTTTTTTTTCTCATAAAATAAGGTTTCAGGTCAAGAGAGTTGCATAAATGTAGCTGGCATGGATGAAAGGTGGCAGGTTCAAAGTAGTAAGGCATTCACATCCTCATAGGGAGGCTAGTTTTGTTGATCATCCTGGTTTGGATCGTACAAGACAAATTGTTTACAGAGATAAATCAATATTTTTCACAACAAGAATTTGTCAGAATCAAGTTTTTTGCTCTTTTTACTTTTTGTAGACTGTTTTGTACTTCCAATATGTTGGTTGTATCACTCTACTTATGACATAGTATTTCTTCTTCTTTAGAAGGACAATATAATTTATAATTACTGACACAAAATGAGACTAATTAGTGGACAGCCATTTGCTGCGACATGATGAGTTAAAATAAAGTGGATTAGAGGGAGAAACAGAAAGAATATGAAAGCAATGGATTTGAAAAGCTACATTAAGACCCTATTTTTCTTCTTCAGTGAAGCATTGTCTGAAAATCAGTTGAGTTTTTAAAAACATACAGGTCGCAAAGTAGAGCCCCTTAATTTAGAAAATGTTGTTTGAAAGGCATTTATTGCTAAGGGGACACATTTGCAGCTCCCCCATCTGTCTCACTTCCTCTGGCCCTCAGGCTCCTGATAGTTTTACTCTACACATTAACCTTTGACTCCAGCTGGCACTCTCAGTCCATACAGGATGTTTTCACCAAAAACAATCTCAGTAACACAATCACCTGGGCTTCTAATGACTCAGATGTAATCTTCACAATGAGAACACCTGACCACTGCCACCTTCTTCCTCGACACAGGAGCTTCCACCTCAACGGGAAGTCAATTTGTCCAAATGTTCCTCTCAGCTCCCAGGTTGTAAGTTGGATTTTACCTTTGCCCGTTTTACTACAACTGTTCCTTCATTGAGGTCTTTATTCGTTGCACTTGTATGCTAATTGGTTCAGGTTGTCATCACACCAGTTTTTAATGTCGACTTCTACTAATAACTGTTACTTACTAGAAATTCAGAGGTTCTAGTGTTGGAGATGTTAGCCAAATGTTGACTTAGATACCAGTACTAAGTTTAATGTCACGATACTGAAATGATTTGTACGATACTCGATACCTAATGGATCAGACAAAGATGTCCACAAGGGATCTAGCAGAACAGAGCAAGGCTAACAGAGCCCCACTTAACTGCTTTAGTCGAGCTGCCAGGGCTGGTCCACATATATGTATCCCAGCGAATTGTCAATTGTGTCAGGTCGCGTGCAGGATGATAGCATATCAAAAATAGCATATAAAGCCTTTAAGATGAAGAAATAGGTATTAAAAGTGTGCGTTATACACCGGATTTTACAGTAAATGTAAGGTTGACATGTTTCTGTTTCTCCTTAATTTATTTGAGCAATGGGTCCACAAACATGAGATAAGATTACATCAGATAACAAAAGCATGGAGTGTGCTTTTAATTTAACAAAAAATGTTCCATCCGGTGTCAGATATCTTGGGTTTCATTGTTCATCTGTGATTCTGTTTGTGTGTCGAGACTTTTCTGTTGTTTGGTCCACATGGCTGCATACAGACCTCCCTGGACCAGCAGCTCCTCGTGCCTGAGCAAAAACGAGAAACAGAAATTGATATTAGACAAAAAAGGAAAACCATAACATTTCCAAAAGTGCATCGGGTAACCCTTCTGTGCTGTTTCTGGCCTTCTTATAAAAACCGAAATGTAAGATCAACATCCCTGTTTCATCCTCTTTAAACTACCTTTACTTTTGTTTCAGGACTTTTAGTATTCTTCAGGAGATTTTAAGTACTTGTACGGTTCTCCATAACCTGGCTCCATATTATTTAAGATCAATTTAGCTCAACATTTCAATTATTTGAATTCTTAAGCAGGGTCTTTTGACTTTTCCACACTCCAGGATGTCACCACATTTTATTTATTTATTTATTCATAACTTGTTTTGTATCATATATATGTGAGGAAAATAAAGATTTAAAGAAGAGAAAAATGGCTCACAGATTAAAGGAAAAGAAGAAGCCGAGCAGACAGGGGAGAAGGTGGGTCACTCATAATGTCTTGTGACACCAGAGCGGCTTTAAAAACAAAGTTGAGCTGCCTGAAATCCTCCTTCAGACTTTAACCAACTTTACTATGAATTAGTAAAACGAAAAGTCTGTCACTGTCTGGACTTCCAGACAGAAAGAGAGAGAGAGAGTGGGAAACACTACGGGGGTCAGAAATAGAACGATACCAGGAAACTGAGACAGAGAGAGGGAAAACAGAAGGAGCAGGTAGATGAAGGAAACATTACGACGGGATGAAATGCAGAGAGAGAAAAAGAGGAAAAAGAGGAAGACGAAGAGAAAAAGAGTAAACAAGTAAAAAATAAATGCATAAGCAACAGGAGAATAAAACAAAAGTTAAGAATCCAGGCCTCACATACTTTGTGGTTTTTTATGTTCAAAGGTTTAATGTTGTCTGTGTTTTTACAACGAGGAAGGGTTTGAGATTTTTTTAAGGCTAACAGTAGAATTAAGACAGATTCTTGTGTTGTCACATTTAAACAGTGAATGTGTTTACATGGACTGGAGATTCCCTGTTTTGATCAGGTTTTTTAAGTTTCCTGTTTTTGTGTTTGTAAACATCATATCCGGATTTCAGAAATTGGGATAAGCCCTTATCCAGATTATGCGACCTGTAGAACTCAGAAAGAAAATGTTATTCAGTGACATCTACACGCTTTAGCCAAGTGGCGTATCAGAAACAAAAAACATGGTGACCAGATCGTCTTACTTCTGGAGTAATGAAGAAACTGAGTTTTGTCTCTTGGTAATAAAGAATTAAAGAGAAAGAAAGTACAGCAGTAAGCGACGGTGGTCTCATCACAGCCACCTGAGCAAATAAGATGCAGGATTCAGAAACCAGGTTATTAGTATTCTTCATGTATACAGGGACATGAATAACCAGGTTTCTCTGTAAGGCAAGTAAGGCATGTAAGGCAAGGCAATACAAGGCAAGTTTATTTATGTCGCACATTTCAACAACAAGGCAATTCAAAGTGCTTCACACAAGACATCAAAAAGCATCATGACAGAGGAAAGAAAAGAAACATTAAAATAGAACATTTAAAAGTGAAAAAAGTTGAAATTATTAAATCTGAAAATATGTTCAAATAAAAATAATTCAAATTAAATTAATTGAAATAAATAAAGTATAAATATAAAAAGAGTCAAAAGTTACAGTGCAGAGTTAAAGTTTAAAATCTTATTAAAGCTGTTTAATGAAAGGCAGCTGTAAACAGGTGAGTCTTCAACCTGGATTTAAAAGAGCTGAGAGTTTCAGCAGACCTGCAGTTTTCTGGGAGTTTGTTCCAGATATAAGGAGCATAGAAACTGGATAATAATATATGTAAACAACATATTCCAAATATAATCAAAACAGGGATAGGGCTCATAACCGGGATACTGAAGTCCATGTAAATGGTCTCTGAGTCCTCAGAATTAGTCAGCTCGGCGTGGACGTCCTCGTAAAGAATGTTAAGCTTGGTGACAGCCTGAATCCTGACACCGGACGCTGAACTGGCCTGTCCTGTGTTTACATCACATTGTCGATCAGAAGATGAATGACTTTTAGTTGGGGTTCCCCATACTTGCCTGCAGGGGTCTCTCCATGTGTTTACCCCTCCGACACATGTGAATGATTAATCTCTCAGGTGTGTCCCCAGTGTTTTGGTGGATTACACAATCAGTTGGATCTACATTGATGAAGTTTAAAATATTTGCTTTTGTTTTCTCAGAGCGTTCTGATGACTCACAATACGCCACAAAGTCAGTAAAGTATCTGTCATGTTCTTTGTGTTGTTCTCAGATGAACGGACGCAGACTCTTTTTTTTCTTCTCGAGTCCACCTGTTTCTAAACTAAGCACGCTTCATAATAACATAATGCCATGCATGTGTTGAAATACGATGTTATGTACGAGAGGTAATCGTGCTCAGACCCGGTTAGTCCTGGAGCAGTGTGAGTGCAGGCCAGCAGGGGAATGGCTAGGGGGGGCAATCGTTTCTAAGCGCAGTATGGGACAACTTAGCTAGTGTGGGTGTGCCCTTACTTTAACATTACATAAACACATTTGCGCCCTAAGGTTTTCAAAGACCCATATTAGATTTGCACCATCCCAATACAGACACCGTGTGTGGTTCACCAGATAAAAGCTGTGCAGCTCCTTTAATGTTTTAACAGGTTTTTATAATAATTTATTTGGATGAGTTGGTGGTGGCAGCGTAGTTGTTATATGTGACGGATGTTTCATGGATGCTTAAATAAATTGTATATCTCAGGTTCAATAAGCATATATCATTAGGGTGAAGTATATCACTTCCTCTTTGTGTAGCATTGTGTGTGTATTGTGGGGGTGGGGTGGGGTGGTATTGTTCCTCAGTTTGTGACAAAGGAAGTCCTTCTAGCTCCTATATCAAAGGACTGTACGCATCAACGGTTAAGTGGCAGCTCAAGTGTGTGTGATTGTGTGTGTGTGTGAAAGAGAGAGAGAGAGACAGAGAGAAGGAGAGTCTCCTCTTTGAAATGTAGACATTACTCCGACCTGGAAGTCACCTCTTGGCAACTTCTTTAAAAAAAAAAAAACAACACTCACATTTGAAGTGATATTAAGGTAAATTTTCTATTAAATTTGGGTAGAATGAGCAGAATCCCTTGACCTGTGTAGCGTGAGTGTCTCCTGTAGGTATTGTAGGAAAGCATGTCCATGTGTGTATGTGTGTGTGCACATTTGTTAGCGCCTGACTGGATACAGACAGATTTGCAGTTGACATGGCTCGTCCTTTCTTGACAATTATTTAAAAAATATGAATACATAACAAAAAGTCCACAATTGGTCTGTGTGGAGTGATTGTCCCCTTCTGGTCATATAGGAAAGTATGTGTGTGTGTGTGTGTGTGTGTGTGTGTGTGTGTGTATGTGTGTGTGTGTGTGTGTGTGCGTTAGTACCGACAGAGTTTATGGAGGTCCCCTTTTTTATTGTGCAAAGAAAAGTTAGGGTTTGAGTCATGTTTCAAGTCCCCTCTTGGCATCTTCTTTATAAACAAAAAAATCTAACTACATTTGAAGTAATATGATGATGAAAGACCTTAAAAGTACATTTTCTATTTAATATATTTTTTTAAATGACCAGAAACAAAAGTCCCCAAAAGGTCAGTGTAGCGTGATGGTCCCCTGATAGTAACGTAAATGAGAACATGGATGTGTGTGTGTGTGTGTGTGTGTGTGTGTGTGTGTGTGTGTGTGTGTGTGTTTGTGTGTGTGTGTGTGTGTGTGAGAATGTTTGTGTGTGTGTGTGTGTGTGTGTGTGTGAGATCAATCAGCCTTTGGGGCAGGAAAAGATACCAGAAAGTTTAAGGGTCACCCACAAAAACACACTCAGAGTGTTTCTGATCTGCAGATAACAAATTTGAAACCACTTAGGACACACAAGATCGTTCAGGTGTGTCGAACAACCTCTCACACACACACACACACACACACACACGCGCACGCACACACACACACACACACACACATACACATACACACAAAAACCCATCAGTAGATGTTAGTCAGTGATCAGATAAAACAACGTTAAAACACTATCCCAAACTGAAAAAAAACAACAACCTTACCGTCCTCTCTCTGCGATCCGCCCGTTGTGAACCACCAGGATCTGATTCGCCCCAGCAATAGTGGACAACCTGCAAAATCATACAAATATTATTCAACACAATTCCTTTTTCATTTCCTCATTTTATTGCTTCTTGGCCATATATAAAGCATTTAAAGGGGGCATATTATGAAAAATCCAGTCCTTTGTTTGTGGTCTGCATAAGTCTTACAACACAGAGAAAAATGCTCCGTTTCAAATGTGCTATCCTTGTGATGTCACAGTGGGATTCTGGTACAAAAAAAAAAAAAAACCCTTCTCCTCCCCTGGTATCTCCACCCATGGATATGATGTTTTTCTGACTACAGTTTTGATCCTCATGTTTGGCATTTTGGCCGTCAACAGCTTTGTTTTATGGAACAGATTTGGACAAATCACAAAACCCATTGGCTATTTTCTGAACATCATACAGCCTCTGGATGAAAATGTCAATTTCTGGGGGCTTCTGATTCAGATCCTGTACAACAATCAAACAGAGTTTTTATCAACATACAGACCTTCAGATATACACAGTAGATCTCTTAATCTTTGGAAACATTCAAAGGGTTATTATTATAACCCTTTGAGTATTAGTATCATAAGTTATATTATTATAACTTGGTTGGTATTTCTTGGCAGCGTTAGCTAAAGTTTATTTTAAAAAACACTTCATAAATAAATAAATGGAAAGTAATGCATCATGCAATTATCCGTCAAATACAATGAAAACTGTGTGTGCCCAATGATTGTTTGTTTCTGTGCCGACGTGAGTCCTTGTGTTTCTTCGATCGCTGCTTTGGGACGCAGCTTCAAACATAATAATAGATGTCATTAATAACAGATATACAGGCCAGAGCTATGAAAACAGGATCAAAGTTGTAATCACCGAGAAATATTCTTCAAACATGTGCGTACAGGAGTTAGCAGATCAAAGACTGAACAAGGTCTGACTGATAAATGAGGAGAAGGAGGAGATGAGAGAAAGCTTCCAGAGGTGTCAGAGGTCATGCAGAGAAGAACAAGGAGAGGAAATGTAAGGGACCCACATTGTAATAAGTGAGAGAAGGATTGTGTCATATAATCCGGCTTGATGTTAAATGTGTTCAGCTGTCGTGTAAAAGCAGAGCACACAGTCATTCCTTGGTAATCACTCACAGAAACACTAGTTCCCTTTAGGTCTGCCATGTTTGTGAGACACACATGCACAGCTGAGTGTGTCGCTCTCGGTTGGAGAACTCTGTATGAACTTGTCTGTAAATTATTAAAGTTAATATTTATGACCAGTCTCTGATGAGAGTCTGATTAAAGCCACACACGCATGGACCTAAATGGCTCTGAGGCTTTGGGATGTAGCCTAATGGGGAATCAGGAATATCATATCCAAGGTGTTGTAATATGTGCAGATGAAAGGTTGCAACTTATTCAGAAGTTTTTGGAAGAAATTAGAGCTTGTACGGTTTTTGAGGTATCATTTCTTTTTCAAAGGTTGACATTTTTCCCTCATGCCCGATGCTGCATGCAGAACACACAAAAAACTGGTCCTGCCTTCCTTTCCAAACTGCTGAGTGTCACTTTAAGCTTCAGCAGAGCCACCACTCTGCTTTAATGTCATCAAGGCTATCTTTGGACGTTCACCTTCAATATTTGATAGAAAACCTCGGTCAAAGGTAGAAATATCTCTCCCCAGAGACTGCAGACGTCAAAGGTTTTTTTTTTTTTCCTCCACTCATTCAAGCTTATATTATTATACAGCAAGAGGAAAGCATCCAACTATTTACATAAAGGTATTTTACTTATGAAATGTGGTTCATGATCTATTTTTAACCTAAGTTACAGTTTGCATATCTGCTCCTTGTATGGATAGAGTCACTCATGCTAACCATCTTTCTAGGTCAGACATCATTTTTTTTTACAAATCATATTTGCAATTTCAACATTTAGTTATGATATGACACAATATATCCAATTGAGGTCAAATCACACATGTAAATAATCAAATAAACAATGACTACATTGCTTCATATTCAGGGTCCTGGTATTGTTTGTTTGGCTCACTTGGTGTCATGGGTGTCAGGTCCCTTGAAGAACACAGAGTTTTTCTGTTTTTCATAACCTCTATGCTTTTCCTGATACATCTGCTAAACGGCAAGCTGCATGTAGCCTAAACAGCATGCTGCATGTAGCACCCGGTTAATGGAGTGATTTCACTCCTGCTCAAAAGTAAAAAGTGGGGCGCGCTGGTGGCGCAATGGTTAGGGCGCGGGTCCCATGTGTTGAGACTCTCGTCTCGAGCGGTAGGCCCGGGTTCGCTTCCACCCGTGGCCCCTTTCCGCATGTCATTCTCCGTTCTCTCTCCCTGGTTTCCGACTCTATCCACTGTCCTCTCTCTCCCTGATTTCTGACTCTATCCACTGTCCTCTCTCTCTGGTTTCTGACTCTATCCACTGTCCTCTCTCTCTCTGGTTTCAGACTCTATCCACTGTCCTCTATCCACTGTCCAGGTCCATCCACTGTCCTCTCTCTCTGGTTTCTATCCACTGTCCTCTCTCTCTCTGGTTTCAGACTCTATCCACTGTCCTCTCTCTCTCTCTGGTTTCTGACTCTATCCACTGTCCTCTCTCTCCCTGATTTCTGACTCTATCCACTGTCCTCTCTCTCTGGTTTCTGACTCTATCCACTGTCCTCTCTCTCTCTGGTTTCAGACTCTATCCACTGTCCTCTATCCACTGTCCAGGTCCATCCACTGTCCTCTCTCTCTGGTTTCTATCCACTGTCCTCTCTCTCTCTGGTTTCAGACTCTATCCACTGTCCTCTCTCTCTCTCTGGTTTCTATCCACTGTCCTCTCTCTCTCTGGTTTCAGACTCTATCCACTGTCCTCTCTCTCTCTCTGGTTTCTGACTCTATCCACTGTCCTCTCTCTGCATTAAAGGCACGAAAAAAGCCCAAAAATAAATCTTAAAAAAAAAAAAAATGTAAAAAGTATGAGGTAATGAAAGTGCACCGTGTTCCCTGCTTGATTTTATAAACAGATTTCCGCCGTGTTCAGGGGAAGGAGAAAGATCCCTCCATCCAATAAGGGAAGTTTACTTTCAATCCAAAAACTGACAAGAGACATCCGAGCTCATCCTTCAAACCCAAGGCATGATCTGTGTCTTTGTACGTTTTCATTTTATTTAATGCTCAACTGATTAGGTCAGTAAACAGTCCTGATCCTGCTCCATCTGTTGCTGCTACTGAAAGATTAAGAAGCTGTTGGATCAATTTAATCAAAGATCTGCAGGTCAATATACAGACTGAGAGACTTACACTGAAAAATGTATAAAGGAAACTAAATAAAAATATTCACTAAAAGAGACATCAGACACGTCTGACCCGACTGGATCAACCAACACTGAAACAAGTTGACAAGATTATTGAATCTGTTTGGTTATCCTGTTGAAGTCAGCTGACTCTCCAACAACCGCGGGGCATTAATAGATTAAAACTGGGATGTAACAACAGAGGCCATATTAACAAAATGATTGCACGGCTTTTGTGCCTCCTTAACCTGTGCAAAAAAAGGGAAAAAGATACCATCTAATTCCTAAAACACACACAAAGGGTTAAACGCATCCCTTACTGCCTCGCAGAGCAAATGGCATCTAGGCGCTGGTGCTGTTTGCGTATATTCAAATGAGCCACTATGCGGCCATTTTGAAAAAAAAAAGCCCCCTCTTTATGCAAATTGGCTGCATCACAAGTAGCAACTATGCACAGAGTGAAAAAGTCTGTTGAGAGTTGGTGGAAACTGCGCCGCGGTATTTATAAGAGATATAATGAGTTAAGTATCCATGGAAAACAATTCCACCTTTGTATGACTTAATGCTAATCTGCAGTATAAATGAAGTCATTAAATATGACTTTACTTTTACTGATATAACCCGGGGTCGAATCAGTCCGGGTCCATCTCCACACTTCATCCCTGTGGAAGCTCTCTGCAGCCGTTACCATGACGAGGATGTGAGTGTTGTTTTGTTTTTTGTTGTTCATGCTTGCGCCATCCATGGTTCCAACTTTAAAACTCACATTTTTCGAGGTCTGGCCTCACAATAAACTTGAGAGACTCCCCTCCCCTCCCCCACCTCATCATCTTTATGCTGATAGAACTTCATATATCTTCTCTCTACATTTACACACTAAATGATCTTTGTGAATTAGTCATCAAGACAGAAAGATCATAAGAGCTATGACCATTCTTAATGAATCAGTCCCACAGTTACCAGCAAATACAATCCATACGTTGTTTCAGATACTCAATACAGGTTACACCATGAATATATTATTAATCCCAGAGTTTATAGTACAATTGTAAACAAATACTAATGATGGTGGTGGAATCATTAGAACATGTCCAATTCAATACAACTGCCAGTTTATGCAATATTCCCTTTTCATTGAAACAAATCAAAAAGATAAAACATCTATATGAAATCATGACGCTTACTTCAAAGCCACTTTTGTTATTTTTTCTTTCCGGAAGCAAACTTTCATTCAACAGTTTATGAAGGTGAGTTGGACAAATGCCTCGAGCTTTAGTGTGGACACAAAGACGACTTCTCACAGTCAGCATCTGTAAACAATGAGGGTATGCATAACTCAGAGTTTCCATACAGGTGCACCTTCTCCTGAAAGTTTGTTTTTGTGAATCATACGTTTTTATAGTTGTTTGGGCGATGACTAAATGTGTTAAATGTGTATGCAAAAGCTTTAAATGGGCAGATTGTTTCACCATACTATAAAAACACTAAGGCTGGTTTAGATTTATTCTATGGTCTTTTTATGTCTTTATCTTTAGAGATAGGACAGCGGATAGAGTCAGTGGGGAACCACAATCGACAAAAGGAGACACACCTCGGATTTGAACCCGGGCCAACCTCTCTTGAGAACTCAAGCCTGGGGCGCGACCCACTCACCATGCCACCGGGTGCCCCCAGAAGCACACTGGTTCAAGTGTTTCAATCGATTATAAGAAAACAATTCAAATGATGATGCTTGATGTGATGACGTCATACTATGTGCTGCGCAAATACATATTTCATTAATTAATTGTAATGTTCAGTATTTTAAATATTTAGAGTATTAACAGCAGCTCATACGGATTTAAGAACATTTCAACAGACAATCAAACCTCACACTGGGGCGCTGGTGGCGCAGTGGTTAGTGCAGGCGCCCCATGTATGGGGCTGTAGTCCTAAAAGCGGCCAGCCCGGGTTTCTAGTCCGGCCTGTGGCTCCTTTCCAGCATGTCATTCCACTCTCTCTCTCTCTCTCCCTGGTTTCCCTCTATCCACTGTCCTATCTCTACAATAAAGGCACAAAAAGCCCCCCCCCCAAAAAAAAAAAGCCTTACACTGAAAGTTCAGACGTGGCTTAGTTTAGAATTTTTAAATAAACAGAGCAGTGAGGGTGATGTGCGGACACCATACGTTTTCTTTAAATGCATGTTTTGGACATAATGAGGGAGAGAAGCTGATAAGAAATGGTCTGCACCACGAGCAAACAACGGTCTCACGCTTAGTGAATAAAGTTGATGGATGCAAGAGGTTTTATAAACAATGTACAGACTGCTTTAGTAAACAGACAAAAAAAGCAATCACACATATCAATGCAGATTACTACATCTTCATATCCAATAACTCAAGGTAAACTGTAGTTTAAATGTTCTGATAGCTCATGGTGTAATTGTCCCTGATGTTGGGGGGTCCCTGTTGCTTGGTGAAACGGATCAGATCAAAATTCTATCCTGGAAGATATAGGAATGGAAAGCTGGTAAGCTAAGTAGTTATAATTATTGCAAATTGTAAAATACTTTTAGCCACTCAGCTAAATTATGTTATGATATTTTGAAATTAAACCAAAAAATGTCATAGGGCATTCAACTGAAGCATCGTGGTAGATTTCTTCGTCCATTTTAAGACTCAAGTGGAACAGCTGTCTGATTTGGAAACTGCTTTCCATGATTCTTAAAAACTTCATTAACTCTGGTCGTTAAAGGGAAACTCTTAATTAAAGCTTTTGAAAGGTGGCGGTAAATAAGCTATCCAAGTCTGTGATACAGATAATAAACAATGTTTTTATTGCAGAATTCAAGGCCTGTTGTTTTGTGGTTTATTGACTTAAATAAAAACCACTAAGGCCTTCTTTCTGATATAGGAAATAACCAAAACAGCTGAAAGTAAAAGGAAAGAAGGATCTCCATTCAGCTCTGGTGGTGACTGGAAACTCTCAGGAAAATGAAAAACACAATTTGTTGATTAACCGAACGCATTATATAAACTTCCCATGGAATGAAACAGATGATGTAATAATCCTTCCGGTGAAATCTGGAAGTCTGTCAAACAAAATATTGTTTTTAGATTTTTCCCATGTAGTGGAAAACACACTTTGAAGTTTCAGACTGTGAGCGTTTGACCAAAGGGTCGATCTCTTTCTGTGCATTAGAAGCTGTACTTTGATCATGTTAGTCATGGAGAGCGATAAAATGATCCGGTGTGCTCCTGTACCGGAGGAAGTGTTGAAGCCTGTGTTAACACAGTGTTGCAGGAATCAGCACCACAGGCTTCTTCTCTCTTGATGTCTTTTAATGTCTGCGAGTGTCAGAGCCTTTCAAGTCTTTTTCAATATCACTCAGACTGATGAATAAGCGGACATCTGTTTCTTTTACTTTTGTTGACCTGTCATCACATGTCATCGTCATATCCTCCAATCAGCTTTTAATTTAATCTCTCCATCCCTCTCTTTGTGTCAGCTCTAATCCTGTTTTCCTTTCACCACATCCCTCTTTTCCTTTCATCTCCCTCGCACACATTTGGTTCTTCTTTTCACTTTGGTCTTGTCTTACCACCCCGTATGTAATCACATTGTAACAGATCGCTCTCTTTTATATTTACAGAGTATGTGTTAATGCACCCAGTGTCAGAGGATTATCATGTCCACATCTTCACCAGGCCACAGACGTTTATGTTTCTCAGATGATGTAGCCTCCTGACTTTGACCATCTCCTGACTTTTCCTTTAGCGTCATCATGAAGCTTAAATTTTCTGTTTTTAGCTTAACGTCTCAAATATTAGCTGGATTTCAGTTAAATCTGGTAAACCCACTTCTACCTACATCAGGATGAAGTTCAATGACTTGGAGATGCCTTCACTTTTCCTCATGTACCAGCATCAGGTAAAATATTAAATGGTCCATTACTTCAGCTCACACCAAATTCCTGCAAAACTATTATCACCTGGAAGTTTTCAAATAGGTAGCTAATGTTAGCATGCTAAAAGGCTTAACAAAGAGTTCTCCAGAGCTGATTGTGAATGGAATAACCTTGATCTGCAAACATTATCAAAAAAACAATCCTTTCCTCTTTTCTTGTGGTTCTACTGGATATGGGTTTCCTTTTGATGAACCCAAGCGACCAATTAACAACTACTTTTCATTTTCAGTCGGATTAGCCCCACAGAGAGGAAGAAAAGGTTGCTCTGCTCAATCAGAATTAATCAACAACTTACATTCTGGTGCTTTCATAGTGGTCTAAAACTGTTTAGCTGCATACCTGAGAACACTGCCAGCTCAAATGGCTCAAATAATAAATCACAGCTGCTGCAGTCACCTGTCAATCAAGGGGCGGGGCTGTAAATATGCATCGTGCTTTCTCTCCAAACCAGCCAGCGTTCATAAATAATCACTCAAACATAACTGATATGCAAACACACATTCCATCACAAAGTTATTGTAAATAATATTAAATCTAAATATTCAATAAATGATTATGTAAGCATTGTTGTTATCAGCATGTTAGCATGGTTCATGCAAACGGCTGTCCACCAATGTGCCCGGTTCAGTTTGAGGTTTCTGCCACTGCTGCCCATACTTTGTTGTAAGTGGAAAGACTGGTCAAGACCACGGGCAAGGAATGGTATTCTCACCTTAACTTTTGGTCCTGAGGGAAAAAGTATTTTGGACTAAACCTGACTAAATGAGAAAGTGGGAAAGGACCTTCATAAGTTCGGTCTGCTGTCTGCAGTAAATCAAAGGACTTCCTACGAAGTTAAACAACATATGACTTGATATGTAATGTCACCTGTGTGCGACCACAATAGTCGTCCTGTTGGTGCAGACCTTGGCCAGTGAAGCCTGGATGTTCCTCTCAGTTTGAGTGTCCAGTGAAGACGTGGCCTGATGAAACAAAACAAACACAGTCGAAGTATCATGAAGTGAGAGTGTTTGTGTGAGTGATTGCTGTAATGTTGGTTTCACTGCTTTATTGAATAATTATAGCTTAACCAACAAAAATGGGACACACATGGAAAGAGATGTTCAAGTAATTGAAATCAGGCTGACTGAGGAGTCCGGGGTCTTTACAGGAAATCACTGGATCAGAATATTTCTCTCAGTTTTATGAATATGGTTTTGTTAAGACTGAATGAGGCCTGGTTGGTTTGTCTACATTTCCTTTGATGTTGATGAGTGATTCAGTTGTGTGCAACAGAAAGACTTCTGACGACCATCTAAATGCACATGGCTGAATCTATACAATAAAAGGGTAGGTTAGAATTTGCCTCTTATTCATGCATGCAGATGGTATCTTTGATGGTAAAGTCCACTTCAATGGTGGGCAGGAGGACATAAGAATCATTCTACCAATCGAGTGATTTGTGGAGGACCCACTCTATCTACAAAGCAGCATGGTGGGAAGGCAAAGTGACGTCTCAACATTGACAACTGACAGTAGGGTCAAGTCGAAATGGAAACCATCGACTGGACAACTTATTTTGCATGCGCACTGCAACTTTTTCTCATTTATCCAGGAGATCTCTGGTCCAAAGTGAAACCAAAACTGACCACTCCATTCCGCTCTTGGCCTAAATTATGGAGTTTTTCGAAACCTTGCTATGAAGTTTTGATTCCATCCACCCATTCAGTTCCCACCTCATACTTTATTTAGCCCATTCATCACAAATCACAATAAAGAAAATATATGTGAAAATTCCTCAGGTTCAATAAAGCATCCATCCAGCCATTCATCCAACCTATAACCTGCTAGTGTAACATCACAATACTTCCCATTTTGGGATTAATGAAGTCCATCCATCCGTCCATCCCCCTATAGGGTGAAGTCGAAATGGAAACCATTGACTGGACAACTTATTTTGCATGCGCACTTAAAATTTTTCTCATTTATCCAGGAGATCTCTGGTCTTAAGTGAAACAAAAACTGACCATTGACTTCCTCTTTAGGCCTAAATCATGGTGTTTTTCTAAACTCTTTGGTACTACTATTCTGACTACTGCCTCAACTTCCCTCAGGATCAATAACACACAAATCCACCCACCCATCCAACCATCCAATCTGCAGGTGTTACACAGCATTTTCCCAGTTTATTGGGATTATGAAAGTCCGTCTGACAATCCATCCAACCATCCAGATCCAACCTGATACTTTGTTTTGCCCATTCATCAAACAAATAACAAATGCATCACACAATACAAACAATAAAAAATGTTATTGTTTAAAGTTGTATTTTGGGGCATTTTTGCCGTTATTGGATAGGACAGCTTAAGAGAGAAAGGAAATGTAGGGAGGAGAAAGTAAGGGATGACATGCAGCAAAGGGCAGACTGGTTTTGAACCCACGGCCACTGCGATGAGGACTATAGCCTCTGTACATGGGAGGCGCCACATAACCGCTGGGCTATCCATTGCCCCCAATGCAAACAATCAGTGGTATTGTACAGTGGTATCATTTAGACACAACCACAATATCGTGTAGCCATCTTGTAGAGAAGCACTCAGCTTGGTTTGTATGAACAGGTAGCTAGGTGTATTTTAGTTTTAAAGGCCCTCCCTTGTGTCCTCACCTCATCCAGCAGAATGATCCGGGGCTCTTTCAGGATGGTTCGAGCAATTGCCACTCGCTGCTTCTCCCCGCCACTGAGCTTCAGACCCCGCTCCCCAACCTCGGTGTCGTAACCTGGTTGGACACATTACCATCATCTTCAAAACGATCAATCATTTGGTTACACATTAAAAAGTCACAACATTGAGGTTGATTTGAAATAGTTGACTGTCCAGAAAGAGGTCGGACATCTATGTAAAACAACAGACGTATATTCTTCATAATCATCATCACACACCCCGGCCTGACCCTTAGGAAGCTCCAGGATCCTGCTGTGTATGTCAGCAGCCATGGCGGCTCTCTCCACCTCTTGGTCGCTGGCTGTAACTCGGCTGTAGCGGATGTTGTTGCGGATGGTGTCGTTGAAGAGAACTGTATCCTGGGGAACGACGCCGATGTACGACCTCAGAGAAGACTGACGCACCTTGGACAGAGAAGAGGACCGGTCTTTAGCCTCAGAACTGAGAGAACACAGGTATCCTGTGGACATAGATCAGCTTTGAAACCCGACAGGCATTAAGGTACTTCATGTCAAATCAACAAACCACCTTGGACCTGGGATCCTCAGACCTTTGGGTCATGACCCAGACTTATTTCATGTTGGAGTTCTCGCTCTACTTGCTCTTGATATCCACACACACACACACACACACACACACACACACACACACGCACATCATACATCTACATAAATGTTGCATGGATTAATCCATCCTATACTATATAATGCATGCTGCCCCAGGTCACAGACAGAACATGTCCTGAACAGATTTCTGTCACCGTCTCTCCCTCTCTCCTCCAGGTTTCCACATATCTGACTCTGCCTTCTTCCTTTTTATTGACACCTTATTTCTCCTTACTCCTTTTCATGTCATGCAAAGTGTGGAAGGACATTTATGAGGGCTAGCTCTTCATCTATATTAAATATTTCCTTAAAAACTGTGCTCAGGTTTCTAGCAGCATTGCTACAATCGTCTTCTGTTGTTTTAGAGAGAGAGAAGTGGACATCTTTTAAAGAATCAGAACGCTATAATGGAAAGGATGTGGCTTCAGTTTAAACGGTAAACACAGCAGAGAAAGTAAAGTTAAGTATTTTGGTGTATCAACATTTTGTAGAAAATGTTCAATATTCTGTTTTCTAAATACAAAATCAAAAAAACATCAGTAGTTATTAAAAATGTGCACACCAGTTGTACGCGTTTTTTTATTTAGAGGAAACCCACAACATACGAGGATGTTGAGATTTTAATTCTTTCTATCTGTATTTTCACTATTCTACCACTAGAGTCTGTGCGTATGCGTCGTCATAGCCGTGCTGATATTTACACCCATTCCTTAGTATAAATACGAGTTTGTAAATTCCACATTCTGCACGGTATTATGTTTCCTGTCTGGCGTTGGTGCTCATCGAAACCCCCCAGGAGGAGCTGGAAACATTGCTGGAGAGAAGGAAGTCTGGGTTGACTTACTGCGCTTGCAACCCGACTTCGGAGAAGCGAAAAAAGATGGATGGATGGCGTGATGGACTTACTTATGTGAGTATGCACTGTGGATTAACGAGGCCCCGGAGTGTATGACTCGTGACCACTTTAATAAAAATAAACACCCTTCTATTTAGTAGGATTATCAAAACACAATTTCTATTCTTCTATTGAACTGTGTTTACAATGGGGCACTGATAGCTATAGCGGTTATGTCACATGCCCCATGTACGGAGGATGTAGTCCTCATCACAGCGGTCGTAGGTTCAAATCCGGCCTCTGCTGAACATCATCCCCCGCTCTCTCTCCTCCAAATGTTTCCTTCTCTCTTCAGCTGTCCGATCCAATAAAGACAAAACGCCCAAAAAATAACTTTAAAAAGAACAACTATATTTACATCTCCATCCTGTCTGAAACAGATGTTCCAGACGAGATGAAACTCTCGTTCCTGCCTGATCTGATCAGTCGGGATTCAAACCTGTATCAGCACAGAGCTCGTAATGTTCCCTCTCTCCTTGTATTTTATGAATCTGGCTCTGGATCTCTCCTGAAATAATTTCCGGTGTTCAATAACTCTCTGGTCGCTGCGCAGTACTTTGAGTGTTTCCTGTTAAAGCTTTCCTCCACAGCCACAACAGTACAAATTCCATTTCCTGCACCAGCTCGGTTTGGCTGCTAACCACTCACTTTCCCCTAATTTGATCTTTTTGCCGTTTAGTTTTTGGTATTCATTCCACTCGAGAACAACATGACATCTGTTTCTAATCGAGGCGGGCTGACAGAGCTCAACACCAAATCTTTAAAAAGAGAGAACGAGGCAGATGGAGAGGGAGAAGAAGAAAGACGGATAAAAATGAGCCGTTTAATGTTTTCACTGAAGCATCAACTGAGGAAGAAAGAAGGGAAATGTAAGAGTGAGACAGCTGTCCTCACACAAGAAATATATCAATAAAATGTAAGATGATGTAGTATTCCAAATATGTCCTAACCAACACTGTCCTAATCAAGTCCACAGGTCCTGCCATAAGCTTTGAATCTTTATTGGAGTTTTTAAAATGTTTTTATAACTTTAACCATGTGCTGTCAGGTCCTTAAACATCGCCATTAGAAAGGAAAATCACCAATATAAAGTTTAGAGGAACATGATGCAGAAACTCCCCCAAATAAACTCAATCAGGGTCAAATACGTTGAAGCACCACGATGACATTGAAGCAGTTCTTTCATTTTATGTCCATGGATAATCAGGTCCAACGTAGACCAGTGGTTCTAAAGTGATCTAGCCTCGGGACCCACCACCAACCCCTTCATGAAAAGTTGGGAACCGAATTTCAGATACTTTTCAACCAATCAGATTTGTTTAATAAAATATTGTGCAGTTTGGACCTCAGATAAACTGCAGTACAAAACGTGACAGAACAAACACACAAAACAAAACAAACATGTTGAAAAGCGCTTCATAGACTTTATTACACAATATTTGTTCCAGGCAAACAGCGACCCACTGAAGATGGCTCCGTGACCCACTTTTGGGTCCCAACCCACCAGTTGAGAAACACTGCCATAGACTATAACTTATATTATTGTTCCAAGAGAGAAACGTCTCAGGTATCCTCTGTTACTACGTGTCCTGCTTCAACCCGGTCCTGATTCTGCTCCTGCCCTGACCCGGTCCTGATTCTGCTCCTGCCCTGACCCGGCCCTGATTCTGCTCCTGCTCTGACCCGGTCCTGATTCTGCTCCTGCTCTCTGACCCGGTTCTGATTCTGCTCCTGCTCTGACCCGGTCCTGATTCTGCTCCTGCTCTCTGACCCGGTCCTGATTCTGCTTCTTGTCACAGATGAAAGTTAAATTCTTGCGGTCTGAGGAATTTTTTTGTTCTGACAAACAGGAAAGGGTGTCAGAGACTAAGAAGAATACTTTCACTGTGATTAGCTGTGATTGCTAACATGGCTCAACAGGAACAAAGCTAAATTGAAACCGCTGTTTATCCTGTAAATTAAAATAAAAAACAGGAAACTGATGGACACACGGATGAATCACTCCAGGATTGAGTAATGAGCAGTTAGCCTGCGGTGTTAGGGCCAGCAGAGTTGGACTCATCAGGACTTAACTACATGTGGCGGCCATATGCAGGGACAAACAGCGGGGCAGAGGACTTTGGCACTAAAGAACAAACCTATCAGTCCGGGCTGCATGCACCGTGGTCTAATAAAAACCTGAACACACCTTGACAAAAAGAAAGAAGACGGCAGAAAAGACCGGAGCATGACTACACATTCACAGATCACTGTAACACCATCCAGAGTCAGAGAGTCAGGACCATTACTCTTTGGGTCTTCCCCTGTTTCTCTCTCTCTCTCTCTGGAGTCATGTATTTAGACAGATTTGGAGAAAATCTTAATATTTTCTTTGAACCGCAGAAAGAACAGATCCTTTAATCTAAGAGCAGATGTGTGCAAAGAGCAGAAAATCTTTGTGTGAAATCCCAGACTCAGCGAGAACATGTGGACGTCATTTAGAGAACCAGATATTAAAGTTATTCATTACAGAGTCGCTCGTAATCACAGCAGAAGAGAACAATTTCATCTTTGATTGGAAACTTAAAGGAAGTCTGCAGCGACACATAAATGTGTTGTTGTCAGAGCCGTGTTTACATGGACGGGACGGCCGGCTCCTCCCCTTGTGTATAAAAGCTGTTTTAGTCAAGAACTAGAGAGAAGAAGAAGAACATACTCACTGATTATTTGGATGTTAGTAAGAGTTTTTAGATCACGCTCATTCTGTGTCAGTTTACATGAAATGTGAAGCTACGAGCTAACTAAAGAGCGCTAACATTAGCATGCTAACACAACAATGTGAAGCTACGAGCTAACTAAAGAGCGCTAACATTAGCATGCTAACACAACAATGTGAAGCTACGAGCTAACTACAGAGCGCTAACATTAGCATGCTGACACAACAATGTGAAGCTACGAGCTAACTAAAGAGTGCTAACATTAGCATGCTAACACAACAATGTGAAGCTATGAGCTAACTAAAGAGCACTAACATTAGCATGCTAACACATCAATGCAGGACACAGCTAATGTGAAGCTACGAGCTAACTGAAGAGCACTAATATTAGCATGCTAACACATCAATGCAGGACACAGCTAATGTGAAGCTACGAGCTAACTGTAGAGCACTAACATTAGCATGCTAACACAACAATGTGAAGCTATGAGCTAACTAAAGAGCGCTAACATTAGCATGCTAACACAACAATGTGAAGCTACGAGCTGACTAAAGAGCGCTAACATTAGCATGCTAACACAACAATGTGAAGCTACGAGCTAACTAAAGAGCACTAACATTAGCATGCTAACACAACAATGCAGGACACAGGTGATTGCAGCTCGAGCTAAGGACAATGTCGTCCGCCGCTAGCGCTTAATTTTGCTTAATTTTGGTGCAGTTAGTTTATAACTCCTTAATGTGAGTGGAGAGGGGTTGGAGGTGTGTCTCTGGAGGAGAGCGGAGGCTTCAGTATGGAGGAGGCAGTTTGTTTTGGTTTCATGCTGGAGCTCAAGGGCGACATCTACTGGATCAAAAAGTCGCACATCATTCAGGATCAACGAGTTAAACCCGACAGCCCTGATGTGAACATAATTACCGTAACATCTGGAGTATATGTGCATCGGTATATGACCCCTAACCACAACCTGCAGCTGTGTCGCTCTTTTAGTACGCTACGGACTGTTTTCTTTGAATTCAGGATTCTGTCCGACTGAGAGAGAAAAGATGTTAAATGTGGCGCCGCCAGCCTGCTCCGTGTCGCTATGTTTCCCAGCACAACACAGAATGAACGGGGGGGGGCGAATTTTCAACGGCGTCAGGTCATGTGCAGTGGGTGATGTTGGCGGCTGCTTATCAGTCATGACGGTGTGATCGTAGCGGTATAAAGAACGCAGAGGATGAAATAGTTATCAAATGTGCACTTTTTACTCCAGGGCTTACGGTAAACAACGGATACTTGTTTGTGCGGTTTGTTTTTTCCTGGGAGAGTTCTTAGAAGATTACACATTAAAGAAGTATTTATCGACCACAACATGAAACGCAGGCTTTAATGGAGTGATAACAGGCAACATGTGAAACAGATGTGTCAAAACTCTAACTTTGACATTTCTTCTGCACTAATCACAGATAACTCAGATGTTACTGAGCCGTTTAAAAAAAGGTTAACCACACGGATAAATACTTTATTTTGCTGTGTGTGATTGTTCTTCATGACTAATGGCTCACAGATCACGGGATTTGATTTGTTTCTGTTTGACATTTTTCTAAAGGCTTCTGCTGCGTTAACTGGGTTTAGCTTTTATATGATCAGGAGATTTAGACTGTAAATCTTAATGTTTGAAGCCTGAGTGGCGCCCCCGTCTGTCCCTGCAGGGGGCGCTGGAGTCCCATCGATGGCGGTTTCCGCCGTCTCAGTCTAACTTTCAGTCAACCTAACGACAGGCTGAGAGCTGGAGCTGAGGCGGGTTTTAAACCTCCTGACAAACCGTTACACCGCGCCCACCTGTCAATCAGGTCAGCTACACGCCTTATTGTGAATAACTCTTATCCTTCATCAAATCAAAACTGATGAGTCATCAAAACATTCACCCCCCGTACAGTGTGTGTCCATCCAGACATGAGCTAATCACACCTATTTGGTTTTTTGAACCAGGCTGTAAACATGTTCATCTCTGCTGTAAAAACAGGCTTTTTAGAATGGGTGTGTATGTGACTTCCTGTGCTTCTGCAGCCAGCCTCTAGTGGACACTCCAGGAACTGCAGGATTTTACACTTCAGGATCCGCTTCATTTTTAAACACCAGAGGTTGCTGCTTGTCAGTAGGGTCAGGAGGACCTTTCCAGGATATATAATCCCTCGAGTAGACTCTGGGTCTATCCCACGGACTCTTCCGAGTTGGGCTTGCACAGAAAACCCCCAAAGTGAGGCTTCCACGAGGCATCCAATCAGAAGCCTCAACCACCTCAACTGTCTCCTTTTGACTTGAAGGAGTAGCGGCTCTACTCCGATCTCCTCCCCCTCTCTCTCTACGGCTGAGCCCAGACCCCCTCCAGAGGAAACTTCCTTTGCCCGCTTGTACCCCTGATCTTATTCTTTCTGTCACCACCCACAGCTCATCACCTTTGGTCATGAATTATTTCCTGTTAAGGTAATTGCCTCCAGTAAGATTACACTATGGTCATCACATCTCACATTTCTAACTTGTTTTTTCCTGAAAAGCTTTTACGCCATCAGTTGTTGTTTTACGAGAGTTGCATTTTATCCGATGCCATCTGACTTTTTTGCTCTGTTTATCTGCATCTATCGTCTGCTCTAACGGGATTGGCCAATACTACTTTGACTTCAAAACAATCTACAACTTGACCACAAACAAAAGATCCCTATGCTTACAATGCTGAAATCTTGTCCCTTGTCTGCAGCTTCTGCTCTACTCTTCAGAATTTCCAACATTTGACTTGATAATTAGCGCCCCCTCCTGGCCGCCTTACTTATCCTAACCCTTAAAACTAGCTTAACAGTACGTGCATTCATTTTGCATTTTTTCTTTTGCAGAATCTTAAACAATTCGTGGTGAATTCTGATGAAAGGTTGATAGTCAGAACCACTCGATGGACAAAAGTTTAAAAGCTGAAAAACACACAAAATAAAAGAATGAATATTTCAGCAGAGTACGACAGGACCGTTCATCATCGCCCTCCTCCCGCTAAAAAAGATAAACAGTCTGACTTTAATTAAGGAGGCGACAAAATGTGTGATGATTAAGCGACCCTCCTGCTGCGTAATTACAAACAAGCGTCCTCATCATCATCACAGCCTGAAACAGCACATCTGTCATACTCGGACAGGTGTTCATGTGTGTGTCAGAGCGTCTGTCATCATGTGTTTGTGTTTTTTTTATTGGGACTTTTGAGTTTCTTTTAACTGCAATAAATGGGCTATCTTTACACACCAACACACACACACACACACACACACACGCATACACACACATACACATCTGGCGTCTGGACTCGTTGCTGCATTATTCAGGAACCTTTTACTATGATTTATTCACAGTGTGACCGGAGCTCACACACTCAGCCCAGCTGTGTGTGTGTGTGTGTGTGTGTGTGTGTGTGTGTGTGTGTGAGAGAGAGAGAGGGGGAAAGTGGAAGTCAAGGTGCGTGAGCCAAAGGCAGGAAACAGCCATGACGGAGAGATGAAAGGAGAAATAAAGCGAGATGAAAGGAGACACAAGCGGTAACGCTGACTGCAGTTAAATTGAATAGTTTGACATTTTGTGAAAAGTGTTGATCACTTCCTCAGCGAGATATATGAGAAGATATAAAACTGTCTCAGGATGGTGCCAGAACAATAAAGTTACAGGCAGCAGCTGATTGGCTCAGCTTAGCATATAGACTTTGAAACACCAGGAGTAAAGACAAAAAAATCACTAACTGCCTGTATCTAAGCTTAAAATCAACAAAGTTTGGTTTTTATCTACCATGGCCATGATATACTTAATGATGGCCTAGCGGATTAACAGAATGCTGCATGTACAGAGGCTAAAGTCCTCAGCAGACGGCCAGGTCGTTTACCTTGGAGATGTCCTGTCCATCAACGCAGATTCTGCCGATCTGAGGGTCATAAAATCTGAACAACAGACGCAGGATGGAGCTTTTCCCTGATCCAGATGGGCCAACCTGCACACACACACAATACACACAATACACACATAAACACATTTACACTGTTGTTTAAAGTCATATTGTCCACATGTTCACCTTTCATGTTGTCAGTGTGTGAAACCTGTAAATCAGCTTCACATGATTTATGTGATACTGGTGTTGGTAAATTCCCTTTTTTCCCCTCTGCCTGAAACGCTTTGTTTCAGCCGCTATTTATTTAAGGCCCCCCTCCCCACGTGCCCACTTTCTCCTGATTGGTCAGCTCTCTGTAAGCCTTCCAAGGAGCAGAATGCTGCAGGGCTGCCAGGGGAGGGCTGCTCTCCAGGTCTGGGAGAATAGAGTCTATGTAAGAGGTTTCAGCGTAGAGGCCTAAAGCCGTCCAGTGATATCTGTATCGGGGAACTTTTGTGCGATTTACAGAACGAGCCGTTTAGCGCCCTCTGTAGACTCATCCTGGGATTACTCCAACATACATTTACCTCATGATCTGAATCTTTGCCCACATTTAGTTTGGACTTTAAAGAAACACCTGACAGGCTTCCATGATGCTTCTGAATCAAGCAGGTTTATTTAAACATTTCTTAACTGTCTGTGCTATAGAGAAGTGAATGTGTGAATGCAGGTCAACTTACCAAAGCTACCGTCTGTCCCGCCTCCACTGTAAAGCTCACATCCCTGAGAACCTCCATGCTACACACAAAACAAACAAACAGGATCAAAATCACTTCTCTTAATCTCCGTTATACTTCCTGATCTCCAGCAGGGACTTCTGAAAGTTTGTGGTTTTTAAAGAAAGACAAACAATGACCATGAAAATTAGAAACATGCCTGTTGAAGACATTTGATTATTTGAGGTTTTGTTGTGTAATGACTAATGTCTTTCTCCTTTTTCACACAAATCACCGACATCTGGATCTTTTGGACACGTTTGCTCAGATCAAACTATCGAAATGACAAAAACACAGAGGAGGCCAATCAAGGCGCTTCATTAATCAAAAATAGAGACGTGTGTTTTTCATCCTGCAGAGAGCAAGTGATGAAATCAAGCTGAGTCACTTCTGACATCAACATTTACATGAAAAAAACAAATTATAAAGGAGCAATATTTAACTCTGACCCCTAGTGTTTAAAATGGGTACTGTAGTCCAAATTCTAAACATCATAGAGAGCTGTCCCCCCCCCCCTCCTCTCTAGAGTGGATGCTCACTCAGGTCACCATGTGGTGGACTCTGAAGCTTCAGTGTTTATCCAGCTCTGCATGGGTCTGTAAACCTTTCTGTGTTCTAACCTCTCTCCATTTTTCAAAAGCATCTCCAATATTGATCCTAGTTTGAGCACGTTTCTGCTCGTGGAGCTTATTAGAAACATGCAGAGGCTTTTTAGGTCGGGTACAATCACTTCTATCTGAACCACTTCTCTTGACCGCTTCCATCGCTGCAACACCTGTTGACCTGATAACTGCTCTCATATCTGACAAACCGAGGGGCGTCCAAAACGGCCGTGTGGGGGGCGTGTCTTAAAAGCTTCTACCTTCTCTGGTCCAAACAAATCCAGAGCATCCAGGAGCAGAATCTAAAGTTAGAAGGAGGACATACTGGCTGCTGCATTGTTGTCAGAGAAGCCAGCACTTCAACATAGCATGTTTCCTTAATGATCAGAGAGTAAGATACCTTTATCATCTCACTCTCTACACATCTTACTGAGATAGTTTTTGGCTACACACCCGGGCGCGTAGCTGAAACAGACTCTGTCAAACTCCACCTGACCTGCTGTGAGCCACAGGTCCTGAGCATCCTCAGCATCCTGGACCTTGTCGGAGAAGAGAGGAGAATTAAGATGAGAAAGACGAGGGGAAAATAAATAAAGAGCTTTTACATTTGTTGCTGAAAACATAGAGCTACCTGAAAAAATAATCTCAACTCCCTCCGTCCTCTTTGGGCCCGTCAATCATCTTAAATAATTTGCATGCACACTTGGAGAACAACTTAAGTTGAACTTTTAAGAATCACAATGTTTGGATAGATGATGTTTCATGACATGTTAGCAGACTCCATGTGCAGATGATCATCATGTTGTAGGGTCAAAAGCACAAGGACAAGCTGGACATGAGTTTGAGTCTTTCTTTAGTAGTCAGCTGCTGTTTTCCAAGAAGGGGGAAGATCCAGGGTCCCCTTTGAAATCTGCTTGGTCCCACCACATTCCCAGTCTATGATTGGCTATTTACCTTACAAGAGGCGGGATCTATGTCAAATCAAGTATTTGAGCTACGTCACATAAACAGACTGACTGAAACTATGTCCATGTTTTATACAGTCATCGATGGCGGTCACCGGAAATGCTGACTGAACCTAACTTTCAGTCAGTCTAGTAACAGATAAAGAGGTGGAGCTGAGGTGGGTCTTAAAGGAGGAGTCAGTAGAAATGTTTATAAACACCACATTCAAACTAGGCCCCTCCTCCTGGGCTCATCACCACCAGAGGCGCTCACTTATTGCAGGACGTAGTGTCTATGTTTACCGCTTGTACCCAGACTGCAAACTGCCTTAGAATATTAAAATGTTTTAATAGAAAAGCTGATAATTTAGCATGCTAGCACCAGCTAACCGCCGGTGTTTGGCGCCTACCTGCCCAACAGTAAACAAACAAACTCCACCTCCACGGGTAAAAGCCAACACAAGGTTCGTCCTTGTGTAAGTCTATCAGTATGTCATTAACGACCGTGTACAGGACTTTACATACACGATATAACTCATGAGTTTTTAGTAACACGGCCTTTCTACACAGCCAGCGGCGAGGACAGAAGACCGCCACGTACAAGTCTTGGTTATTGTCACTAAAGCTAACGACTACATCATGACAGTGAACTAACTATGTATGTAGTGTACCTTGGAAGTCATCATCCCTACATAAGTGATATCTGTGAGACTGTTCTGGTTTACATGGAATGAAACAGCTAAACATTAAACAACCGTTAGCCAAACGTGTTATGTTAGCTATGCTATGACGTTAGCAACATGTCACGTGTTGTTGACGGTCAGTGTCGGCTGGTATACGGTAGGATTTCAGTTTGGAGACATCGCTGTTATGACACCAAACAACACAACAAGACAACGTTATAATCCTCCTGTGTCCTGTTATCCTGCGGTGGCGATTCAAGCTTCCCTCGAGTTTAGCTTCGTTTGCCTCCAGCTAACGGCGTGGCGTTATTGTGACGTCGGCCCGTAAAGGGATAAGGCAGATAAGATAATATGTATTTCTCCTTAACCCTCATTGTACTCCCTCTCTTCTGCATCCCGTCCCTCCTGCAGACCCCCGACTTTAACTGTGATATAAATCATGAGGAGGGTTAAATATAATAAACTCCATTTTACGATTTATCACCCTCAGCTTAGCATTGCCTTTCCTTCTGACCTCCTCCTCCTCCTCCTCCTCCTCCTCCTCCCCCTCCTCCCTCTGACCTCCTTCTCCTCCTCCCTCTGACCTCCTCCTCCTACCTCTCCTCCCCCTCCTCCCTCTGACCTCCTCCTCCTACCTCCTCCCCCTCCTCCCTCTGACCTCCTCCTACCTCTCCTCGCCCTCCTCCCTCTGATCACCTCCTCCTCCCCTCCTCTCCTCCTTCCTCTGACCTCCTCCTCCTACCTCTCCTCGCCCTCCTCCCTCTGACCTCCTCCTACCTCTCCTCCTCCTCCTTCTGACCTCCTCCTCCTCCTCCCTCTGACCTCCTCCTACCTCTCCTCCCCTCCTCCTCCTCCCCTCCTCCCTCTGACCTCCTCCTCCTACCTCTCCTCCCCCTCCTCCTTCTGACCTCCTCCTACCTCTCCTCCCCCTCCTCCCTCTGACCTCCTCCTCCCTCTGACCTCCTCCTCCTCCCCCTCCTCCCTCCTCCCTCTGACCTCCTCCTCCTCCCTCTGACCTCCTCCTCCTCCTCCTCCTCCTCCCCCTCCTCCTCCTCCCTCCTCCCTCCTCCTCCTCCTCCTCCTCCCTCTGACCTCTTCCTCCTACCTCTCCTCCTCCTTCTGACCTCCTCCTCCTCCTACCTCTCCTCCCCCTCCTCCCTCTGACCTCCTCCTCCTCCCCCTCCTCCCTCCTCCCTCCTCCCTCTGACCTCCTCTTCCTCCCCTTCCTCCCTCCTCCCTCTGACCTCCTCCTCCTCCTCCTCCTCCCCCTCCTCCCTCCTCCCTCTGACCTCCTCCTCCTCCTCCTCCCCCTCCTCCCCCTCCTCCCTCTAACTCCTCCTCCTCCTCCCCCTCCTCCTTGCCTGCAGTTTCCCAAGCCAAAGAAAAGGGCCGCTGTTTTTTGAGGTCCCTCTAATGCCTTTGTGCACATTCATGTGGCTGTTTACCATATCAAGGGACTGTGAATGTAGGAGCCTTTAGTGAGGCAGCCGGAGGACGCCTTTTCCCACCGAAACACACACAAAAAGTCAGACAAACACACACACACACACACACACACACAGGCGGACACGCAGACACTGTGTTTTAGTATGTGTATGCGCACAAATACACACAAACACACAAAAGTCACACACAGACACTTGTTGACCTTCTAATCCGCTGACCTCTGACTGTGAGAGTTTCTGTGTTTTCCAGCTGAAGCCGACGGACGCTGATCAAAAACTCTTCATGACGATTTAGTTTATATCTGAATTATTCACACAGACTTCTCTTCATCCATCACTGTGACCAGGATAACTTTTATTTACCGTTATCTCACCCTACATTAGACTGATTATAATCCAACTATAACCATCATTACTGCAGTCACAGTTTATCACTAATCAGAGTTATTATGTCAGATAAGCAGAAAAATTAGATAATTGCCAAATAATATTAAAAAAAGATTTAAAATATATAATAAAAGTCTCTTCAAGATCAAGTTCAAGTTTATTAAAAGCCATTGCAACAATACAGTTTAAAGGAATTTGTCTTGGTAACCAGCGTTTATCTTTCAACATGCCGCCTACAATTATTATTATTTTTTATGTATTTATTTTTAATTACAAGGACCAACAAATTAACACAATAGACAACAAACCACAACAACAACATACAGACACATGAACAAAGATTAACAACAGCAGTTTTCACAGTCAGTAGAGCTAAATAAGCTCATTCATATTCTATTCAATTGTATTTGCTGTTCCTATTACACTGAACCATTCCTCTTTTAGAAATATTGCCAATGGGGACCATTCCCTTACAAAAACCTTAAGAGTACCTCGTAGTACATGAGATAATCTCTCCAAAGGCAAGATGGACATCAGTTTTTCATACCACATTGAGATATCAGGAGGATCTTCATCTAACCATTTCTGTAACATTGTGAGGCGTGCAGAATACAAGGTAACTCCAAGAATGTACTGGTGCCTACGGTCACAGAAGTCCAGTCCAAGAACAAAATGATGAGGATTTAAAGGAATATAACACCCAAATATTTTCTTTATCTCATTTTGGACTGAGAGCCAGAATTCTGTGATTTTAGGACACGACCACATAAGATGACCATAAGTGCCACAACTACTTTTGCATATCCGACATAATGATGAGCATGTAGGGTCATATTTACATCTGATAGCTGGGGCCACGTGCAGTCTGTGGATGATCTTATACTGAGTCTCATAGGATTTGTTCGAACATTTAATAAAATCTCTCTCCACATCTCATCATCGAGATGGTACCCAAAATCTTCTACAGTTTATTTGTCGACAGTGTTTAGACATCGATAAAAGCTGCCTGGGATTAAAATAGCAACATTCCCAACCAATTCCTTGTTGTTGCTTTTTTAAGCAGCGCTCTTTCATTCCCCTTTATATCTTTTAAAAGTTCATCGTAGTAACGTCAACGTTTACCTGAAACGCCTCGTGTCTCACCTCTTTCTGCTCGGTCAGCAGGGCCAGCATGTTCTCCATGTCCACAAACGCACTCTGAATCAGCCTGCAGACAAACAGATCCTTATTCTGATTAGGAGCACTCATAGTTTGATTATAGCTTTAGTAGCAGAAGAAGTAAAGGAAACGAGGAGTCTCACCTGTAGTAGGTTCCAAACCAGTTGAGAGGAGTATACAGCTGGATGATGTAGGTGCCGAACAGAACGTAGTCTCCAACCTTTAAAAGTTTATGAACATTTAAAAAGAGAAAATATTGCAATGTCAGTTTTTAACGATATTCTTCAACAGGAGTAAAAAGGAGAAAATAGTCAAGTAGAGTAGAATACATCAAAACTGTACGTGAGCACAGGACATAAAGATATGTAACTCTGACCCCTGGTGTTTAAAATGGGTACTGCAGTCTAAATTCAAAACATTGTAGAGAGCTCCCCCCCCCTAGAGTCGATGCTCACGCCGGTTGCCATGTGGTGGACACTGAAGCTTCAGTGTTTAGCCAGCTCTACATTTGACCTGATAACTGGTCTCATATCTGGCAAACCGAGACCTACACCCGTAGACATGTTTTTTTTATTCCCCTGTTATATTTTCTCCTGTCGTACCTGGAACTGCCCCTCAGACACCAGGTGAGCGCAGAGCAGAGATCCGGCGAGCAGTCCTGATCCTATGATAACGTTCTGCGTTTGATTCAGCAGAGCCAGAGAGGCCGAGCTCTTCCACTCACAGAACTGCACAAACAAGGAAAGCAAGTCAGTAGCCAATCTCTTCTCTCGTGTGTCTTACGCAGAAACACGAGCTTACCTGGTACTTCAGAATGGCGTCCTCAAAGCAGCAGACTTCATAATCCTCTGCTCCGTAGTATTTGACCTGTTTAAATAAATAAAAGTCAGAGAGTGAGGAGTGAGACCTTTTTTAAACATCCTGAAATCATCCTAGAAAAACATCCAGGACAAACTCCACCTGACCACATGGCTGTGACCCATGTGTGGTAACTCATTCAAAGCTTAGTTTCCTCCACCAAAGGTCAGAGGTGGAGTTATAATTAAACAAGCAGTGAAACTAGCTGGACACGAGGAATACCGTCTCAAAGTTGAGCAAAGAGTCAACGGCTCGAGACTTGGCCTGGTTGTCTTGGTCGTTCATCTCTCTCCTGTATTTGGTCCTCCACTCTGTGATCAGGACGGTGCAGGCTGCAGAGAGAGACCCGTCTGGTTAGCATCAATGCAGAGAAGCATTTGACCAGGCTGTTGTGAAATCAATAGTAGGACCTAAAGCTATAACAAGTTGCAACAAGAATATTATTGTCTGCAATCAAACTCCTTAAGTGCATTAGAAAGAGGTTATCTCAGCGCTGGTGGGTTTTTCTTAAAGGTCACATATCCTCCTCCTCCTCTTCAGGTTAAATAAGTCTCAGAGCTCCTCAAAACATGTGTGTGAAGTTTCTTGTTCTAAATCCACTCTGATCCTGTATTTGATCATGTCTATAAACCCCTCTATTTCAGCCCTGCTCAGAACAGGCTGTTTCTGTGTCTGTACCTTTAAATATGTAAATGAGCTGTGTCTGACCACGCCCCCTCTCTGGAAGGGCTTGGGTGTACTCGGTGCTTTCTCGCTTCATGTCCTATTGTTTACGGTGAGAAGGCAGACTCAGAGGGCAGAACAAACACCTAGCTGTGGGAGTGTCACCCACCTGGGGGAGGGGCTACTGCCCTTTGTGATGTCAAGGAGGGAAAATACTGGGAACTTGTCTTGGACTCCAGATGAATCATTTAGATATTCATCTGTCAGTCTTGTCCAAACACCGACTGTTAGC